AGCATGCTGAGGAGTAAAGTGACAGAAAAATGAAGCAAACTGAAAGTATGATGGATTTACACAATTACAGCATGGGAAATTGATATTGGTCCCTCAGTGTGTGAATATCTGATTGGAGCAGATTAAGATAGACTGGCTGACATCAGTCTAGTTCTATTTTTTCATTTCAACAAATCCCATCAAAAAATGAAAACCAGCCATTCATAGATTCTACTAACAAGTATTGCCTATGTAGACAAAGCCCGATGACTTCTACGTATATGCCACAGGCCTCCATTGTTATCCAAAAACTATTAAAAAACACATCAGCCACACTGTCGCACTTCCAGTGTGAATTAATCCATGGTTGAAAATAGTCCCCAAAAGATACACAATTTACTCCTGAGTCTTGTTAGCTAAAATATACAGAATCCAGCTGTTGTAGTCAATTACTGAGCCTTTAAAAAAATCAAACTACAATTTTGAGACCCGTTTTTTAAGAATGATAGTATATCTTCTGTATGAATCAATGAGCTTGGCCCTGAGTGCCACAGACACGGCTGGGGGAGTTGGAAAGTACTGAGAGAATGACTAATGAAAGAATGAATTGTTGGTTTTAGTCTTTCCATGGCATTTGTTGACAATAAGAAACATATTGAATAACATGTCCTAATAACGATCCTGGACCCACCAAAGTGTGATGTCAAGTTTCAGCCAAAAAACAGCATTTCAGTTCCATCTCCCTGTCAGACTAATGGGAGAACTAATGAATCTAAAATGACTGTCTAACACCAACACAAAGCTAAAGCCTAATATCTTTAAACATGAACACTGTATGTCTTTATTCTTTGCAGCAACTGTGGAGTAGCTTTGATGGCACAAGGAAAAAACATGGCAAGTCATCAGCTGTTGAGTGTTTGGTTCTGCATCTATCAGATTGGATAGATTTCTACTGTGGCACAATATCTTCACTTATTTTGAAAGCTTTATAAATATAAACATCCTAATTAAATTTTTTAAATGATTTTGCTTCTAATATTTAAAGTTTACTGTCTCTAATTCATTCCTAAATTAAATTAATTAAACCAAAAAAAAGTGTAACAAATGGTCAAAATGGACTACAAACAGCCTCGGATACCACACACACGCGCAAACAAACTACAGAACAATAAACCCACTTACCTTCAGGCCGCAGATACAGGTCATTTCCATTCAAGACCAACCTAAGCAGGCCATGCCAAGCTTTGTGCCTACTCCCATCAGTCTCATTAATACCTGAGCTAGTTTGGGCGCTTGATCCGATTTATTATTTATTAATAGATACTTATAGGTACTCTTAACCTTACTGGTGGACATTTTAAACCTTTTTGAACTGCACTTGTTTGACATCTGTCTGGTTATGTGTTGTGTATGCACTGATGCCCCTACAAAAATTAAGTTCCTAACGGATTAATGAAGTTATTTTGATTTAATTTGATTTGATTTGAAGTGTACCCTGGTAAATTGGTCAATGTGCAGTCTTTTGGCAGAGCTTGGAGGAGTCTAATAGGTCATTTCTGGTTATCCCTTAGAGAGTCCTGCAGAGCTACTCTTGATTCATTTTATAAAAAGAGACTACAGTTGTCTTGTACAGTCGGGGCATGAACCTAACCCTGGATCCCTTGGAGCTGGAAGAAGTACAATAGTGATATAAGGTGATGTGTTGTTGTAGTGCAGAGAGAAATTGAGAAAGTAGAAAAGAAAATGCTCTCAGGAAATGTGTCAGTCACAGATCCATATTTCATCTAAACATTAAACACTGGGCTGGAGTGTGAGGAACACATCAGAGATCTTTTTCACTCGTTGAGCAAAAAGCAAAGTTTTGCCTGAGCAGCAGGAGTCATGTACACCCACCTGGTGCCTTTCACATACCGGGTATGACCTCGAGATTGAAGGGAAAAAAAAAGAGAGAAGAAAATCTGACTCTCACAATCAAGCACAAAGAGAAGCTCTGCCCTCTGGTCAATCCCAGTCACCTGTCTATCGGTTAGCACCTGCATTACCATGGCAACTGATTACCTGGACATGCTGCATCGTAGTTTGCAAGTCTACTATATTCTCTGGTTCTCTCCTGACCTTAATGCTAATTTTTAATAAAAAGCTGTATCACTGTGACAACTGACCTTATCTTATAACAAGGTTTACATTTTAGTAGCAGGTTCCTATAATCATATATGAGTGATGTGGGAATGGAGATTTATCAGGATGATAAGACCACACATTCTCTGAGAAGGGAGAATAATAATTGCAGTATAAGCAGCGCTTCTATGTTTGATTCACTAGAAGCTATAGAGGTGAAATAATATCCAATTAACCTCATATGGTCTATATGTCATTGTCCTAATTGCACCACATGGCCATATAGAATCAGTTATTTTTCCTATTAGTGTTTAGTGGTAATTATATGTCATATGAGATTGAGAAAACAGATTATATAACAAGGTAAGACCTACATGGTCTTGTTTTTTATTCTTTGTCTATGAATTCATCGCCCTTAATAATCCCTTTATAGATATTATATGCAATTTGTGTGGAGTTATATTTCTTATTCTGACTCCCTGTATTTTAAGCCTAACAAGGCACCAGTGCAGCTTTATAATCCTGAGAACATGCTGAGGCTTAAACAAGATGAGACTACAATAAACAAGAGGGGGAAGAAAACATAGCATCTTGCTGCAGCTTTGAAGTGGGAACCGGATCAAATCCCCATACGAAGCAAATTGCCTTTCTTTCCCACCAACTAAAAAGGGATCAAAACTGTCTTTTCCTAAAAATAACAACTCCCTGTCTCCCTGTCTCTCTCTGTGTATCCTCCATGGGAAGACAAACACCAAGGACCTTCATGTTTTCCTTCTCAACAAAAGTCCTGGTCTCTCAACTTTTTAAAACACAGTGTTTATAAGATTTGTGTAGTCACATAAAGGGAAAACTTAAAGAGTATGTATTCAGAAACTAGGTGTTAAGTGTGTTTGCTCATGATAATGTTTGACTTGTGAACATTGTGAATTCATGTTTAATGAAAACTCAGCCTTGTAATTAACATCCCTAAAAAAAATGACACATAAATGTTGACCTACAGCATGACTCAAGAAGGATCCCCGTGAGTAGAGGGGTATTTCCCTTGAACCATTTAACAGGAAACCATGCAGAAGAGAATGCGAGGCTTGAAAATGATAATGAAATTATTCATGTCACACAGTTCAGTGCAACACTGCAATTAAATAGTAAGTCATTATGACAAAAGACGCAGACTAAGCACTAAACTTTATGAGTTTTGTACTTTTTTTTTGTAAATGCAGAGGGCAAAGATAGCTGATGAAGGCCTCTGCTTTGCTTCGATGGGCCTAAATGTACATCGGGACTACAGGCACAGTGTTATAAGAGACATTACGTAAGTAAATAAATCAACTGCTCATCCACCCACAAACTCGTCCAACCCACACACAGGGCTATACAATGGTTAGATACTTTAGTTTAACACACACACACACACACACACACACACACACACACACACACACACACACACACACACGCCTCCCAGTATAAAAGATCTAATGTTGCACTTACACTTTATGCAATGGTAATAACTTTGTAACTTTAAACAGCATAAGATAAGTTAATTTACCATGATATGTGGAGGAGATAGGTGGAGGGACAAGTCAAGATGAACTTACATATAGAGTTTCCACTGAGCACAAAAAGATTGGTGGAGGAACAATTCAGCAACAGAAAGGCACTGACTAAAAGTGATGAGGGCGGTTAAGCTGTGAAATACATCATTTTAATGGGTGACTAGATCAGTGCGCAGCTCATCACTGTTGAAGCTGGAAATGGGTTAGTTTAAAATTTCTTCTTGCCATTAATATCAAATACTGAAATCTCTGAGAAGTTATAAAATACAACCTTAAACCCCAAATACAACAAAATTGCAAAGTATGACGCTCAAAATGCACAAAGGTTAGTTGAAGGGGAACTGAATCTATTTCTACACAAGTGTATTTACACATCTTGGGGTGTAGTACTCAATATGTGAAAAAAGCTGTATAAAGCCTTTTATGGCTCCAGAAGGAGCTGCATGATTTTTAAATTGCCTCAAGTGATGTCACTTGAGTCGGTGTTGATTGGGCCTGAATACTACAAGTTAGAAAATGAAAAGAATCTGTGGTTAGAAAGAAGCGAGTGACCGCTGTAGCTCGCTCCTCATCCTTCCTTGAGGCTAGCGGCTCAAGGCTAAATTAGCATAACACATCCAAATCTCAGACCAAACTGTTGGTAGTCATGTTGCATTGTGGGTTAAGTAGGCGCTAGGTTTTGTCAAGGAAAGTCTGTGCATGGAATAGAAATGGCAGTTTCTTCTGAATTGATTTTGATTGTCTGCTAATGTCACAGGAGTGCAATGCTAAATCTGCTACTACTATTAACACCTCTCAAATACAGAGATAAAGACTGGCTTATAAATTAAAAAGCCTAGTGATTAAAGGTAGTAGTTCAGTCATATCCGTGACTTTAGCTGTCACCCCACTTTAGAGCCTGTAGAGAGGGAGATAACTGTCTCTTTTTGCCACCATGGGTCTTAGTGTTGCTGAGGGATCGTCCGTCTCTGTCTCTTGGACAGACAGACACACCTGAGTGTGACCATTAGAAAAGGTGGACAAGTTCTTTCCTGTCTGCCCCTGTGGGATCACAAAACTGGCACATGACAGACAAAATTATCACCCAGGGAGACAAAAAAAAGTAAAGCATGTCAATCTAATTTAAGAAATCAATATCCTATCTAGTGAGATTTCTAACACAGGAAATACTCTGTGACATATAAAGACACTAAAAAGCTTTGAAAAAAATCCCTTTGGTACATATGGCCCCATTTTACAAAAACGTGTACATATATGAAGACACAAAAATGTGTTTGAATGTAAATGTGTGTGGGGGATTTGTCGGATTTTGCTTGTTTGCTTTTGGTCCCATTGATTTAAACTCACCCTAAAGTCGATGCCCACAGTGGAGATGAAACTGCCAGCCAGGAAAGCTCCATCTTTAAAACGGACCAGTAGACATGTTTTGCCCACACCAGAGTCTCCAACCAGCATCACCTGCACAGGAAACCAAGAGGGAAAAACTCAGCCAGGAATGACTGGAAGGCTAAAAGTAAGATGCACAAAAATGTACAACCAGAGGTGTGGGGGATAAAACTTCAGACTGTGTGACTAATCGATAGAGGTAAATGTCAGACGGAACTGAAATAACTAGCAAAACATGTAGGAGCATGAACAAGAGGTGGCATTTGCTCATATGTTTAATTTTATTTCAGTCTCTGATTAATTGAAAAAGCACATTTGAATCATTCAGCTAAATAAGTCCTGGTATTTTGGTGCTTGGCAGTGAAGATGGTATATGTGTTAGTCCTCATCACGGCCACCAGTGGATGGATCCTTTCTGTAAAATGTATACAACCATCTTAAATGCACATCCATGTATGTGTGTGCACATATAAAAAACAGACATACTCTGGCTTCATCCCTGCTGCACACACAGCCTTGCCTTTCTCTTTTTATTCCGAGCTGTGATGAAGTTAAAGGTTTGATGTGATTACTGTTATCAGGTTAGCAGAGGGACCGTGAGCCCTAGACCATGGAAATCCAAAAGTGCCTCTTGGGTGCACAGAGGAAGCGGAGAGATGAGATGAAAGACAGAGGAGGAAGAATGAAGGGATGTAACAGGGTCACGGAACAGATATAAAATGTGGCAACGGGTAATGTTTCCCTATGCTCACTGTTTCTACTTTTGTCTTATTTAAAAAAATCTATATATCTCTTCTATCCTCTCATGCCTTCTCCCTTAAACTGCAGGAGCTAAATGTTAGCAGGGGTGTGCAGGAGGAGGCACCTGGCCTCTCCCTGCCCTTAGGTTTTTATAAATAAAATGCAATCAATTTCTTCACTGACTCAATGCAGGATAACGATCAGAGGGAAATGGTGAAACATGGCACAATGCCCTACAATTGGCATGCTCTTTTTACATTTACAGAAAGAGGGATACAGTACAAGTTAATCCCTGCAAAGCTCCACGTTCGATAAGGTATCCCTAAGGCTACAGCCTGGGATCTTTTCCATCCAGTCTTGCAACATTAAACTAAACATTACAGATTGATCTAGAAATTATTTAGAGAGAAGCTGAAGGGTTTATGGATTCCTGCCTAAACATGTACATGAGAGTGACTTTTTCCTGCAATAATGAATCTACTGGCTGCAAGGATGATGCATACTGTACACAAGGCCATCCCTGCACTCCACAAATAACAATTAATGAATTAAAGAATATCTGCAGTTCATAGTGGGTTTGCTTGGGTGCAACAATCAATTCAACTGTTCAGCAAAAAAAGAGCAACACAAAGCCATTTGCACTCACATCAAACAGATGCTTCAAAAAACATGGAGTAGGTAGCACAAGTCCCTTGAAGCTATGTTGGGAGTACACACTGAGAATCTGTGGGTGTGAATCTGTGTTTGTGTTGTGGAGAAGTGACAGTTCTCTACTCACACAAGTGCTCACATTATGGTTAAGTGAAGCATGCCAGTTGAAAATGCAAAGCCCGAAACCTTGTGCTACCGAGGCAAACATGCATTCAACCAGTTGCACTAAGTGATTTGTTTGTTGGCTGTTGCAGGGCGGTGTGTGCACCTTTCATAGGTTATCGATCGTTTTATTGACACAGCTGGTTGTCAGGAGCTTGCTACTGTTTAATGAATAAAGGTGGTCGTAACGAAAGACAATGAAAGCTAAACAGGAAAACAACACTGGCAAAAAACACACACACACACACACACACACACACACACACACACAAACAGGTTTACCATGTGCATTTTCGCAATAAAGGGAAACAAAAGAAACAAAGTGTCCATATGACCTCCTTTGAGGAATCATTTCCTCAGTGTAGAGTTTATAGTGACCTCTGTGGCTGTTTTATATCAATCTGAATATCGCCTTATATTATTTCTGTGATGTGTTTTGGTGGAAAACGATCAAATACATAAGACACTTTTATGTGAGTTGCAGTTTGTTGCACATACATCAACAGCAGCAGGCATCTTACCTTGAAAGCGATGTCATAAAACTCGCTGCTGTTGCTGATAGAGGGTCTGCTGGGATGGACCACACCGTTCATCTGAACAATGCCCGGGCTGCTCTTTGCAGCTTTCCCGGTCCCTTTCCCGGTGGGGCTGCCCGCAGACGGGCTACTGGTTGCGGCTTTGCCTTTGACAGCCTTCTTGCGAGACATTTTTCAAGATTTCAAAAAAGTATCTTATGAATCCTTGCTTAAGCAAACAACAACAACAACGAAAAAACAAATCTTGTCCGAATCTGCACAAGGTAAAGGACTGAAAAGTTGCAGCAGCGAGGAACTTAAATTAGCAGATTGTTTTTTTTCACCTGCGCATTGAACGCATGTTCCTCGACACCTCTCCACACAAAGTAGTGCTGAAATTGTCCCGAGATGCAAAAAACTGCTCTCGCTTCCGTTGTTGTTCTGCCGCTTCCTGCTCCTGACAAGCTTGCTCTTTTCAGGACAACAGCCTCAGCACTGCGCGCTGTAGCGGTGATGTGGCAGAAAACTCCACCTTGAGCGCAAAACAATCAGGACACTCGGGCGCATCACATCACAAACTAACTGTAACCCTCAGTGATTCATTTTATGGATCTATTGTGGGGACTGTGGTAACTTTTAAGGCCGTGTCACCACGTGATTTAACGTATCTGTTGACATGGTAACAATAGTAGGACTATCTGATTATTATGAGGGACTATAGAGGGCACGGGACGCTGTCCGTGGTGCTGAAAAACAGCTGTGCAAATACTGTATGATGAGCAAATTCTTCCTCTTCCCTGAAGTTTGAGGAAGACTTGATTTGTCCTCATGGGTGCCATACTTATTATGTGATACTATTGTGAGTCAAAAGAAGCATCTTTTTTTTCTCAGCATGTGTTTCTCTGTGGATATTTTCTTGCAATAATCTGGTTCATGGAATTAAGCCTAAACCTTCAAAATAAGGTGCATATACTGCAGTGCAAAGATGACACATTTAGAGCCACCTCTCTTTTAGGCATGCATCATTTCTGTTGTGTAGTATTCTGTTAGGGTGAAAAAAATGTGAATATTTTAATGAATTATTATGATTGATGCCATTTAATTGTTACTTTCACGCATATTCCTGACGACACGGACTATTTCTTTCTCACTTATTCATTCATGCCTTTCATATCTTAGATTATTTTATGCATGTATGAGACGTAGCTGGAGGCCAGGACTAATTATAAAAATGTGATGTGCCGTCAGCAGTTGAATGAAAGCGATCAAAGTAATCTGCTTCTATTAGCATGAGAATTATTGATATGGCGTTGAGGGGGAAAAAAAGCTGGAATGAATAACTAGCAGCCACCTGTGGAGCGTGTTGGAGACGTGATTTCAATAAAGCACCACAAGAGGGCGATGTAAGAATACAAGATACAAAGCCAGACATGAAACAGGGGAGAACAGCGGCGTAAAGTTCAAGTTAGTAGGTATCCCCAAAACAGATAAAACGGATTATTATAATATTATTTAAATGGTCAAATCGGGTCACTGTTTTAAACAGAAAAAAAACCTCTAGTATAAGGTAGGCTGGCTGTAATACAGAGGGAAAGTGCAACAACAAACGTCACATATATGTAGTTATATGAAGGAAATTTGATTTGATTTTCATATACAGTGGATTTATTATGAGTGGTAGGCCTCCATATAGGCTACAGTTGTTTTTCAGCTTCCTCGAGCCTCCATCAACAAGCTGGTTGTGATCAGAGCAGAACAGTCAAAAAGATGGCCACTGGCCTCTCTGTGACTTATACCCACACCCGTTATAATTCACAACATAATTCAAATGTCTCTCTATAACATGGAGGATGTCACTTTGTGGCAGGGTCCACATATTGTTTACATTTGCAACAAAGAACAGCAGCATATTCTGATTAGACCCTGATCCTCTGTGGCCAGTAATGAGATGCTGTTGTTTCCCAGCTTTGTAATCTAGTTTGTTATGCAATGTGAAATTTGTGTATAATACAACTGCCTTTCTGATCAAGTGCCAGGCTGTCCAGGCTCATTAGAAACTGCTCAAAGATCATAGCCCAGAGACCTTGTTTGCTCCCCACAACATGAGACTGAAGTGAGCTTATATTACCTCTGACCCTAACAATGTGTAGCATGAATAACCAGGCTAAACTCTCAAAGAGGCAGCTCCGTTTAACGTATACAAGTTAAACAGAATGGAAACCAACACAGAAACGCCAGAACAATACACAGGTTGATAGGGTTTCTGTTCAGCAGATGAAATTTGACAGTATGTTAACTTCTTACTGGATTTGGCAATGGCAGAGTCACAACTCTTTTGTTATTGTGTAACGACTTTTTTAGGGCATGTCATTTATTTGACCCCAGAGCTCCCCAGTTCAGAGGTACTGATCAGTTTGGTTGTAAACACACACAGACAGCTGTAGCCTCTGGTTTCTGTCCCTATAAATCTGCAGTCTGTCAGCGTTTTTCCACACTCCACCCTTCTCACTGCAGAGTGGGGAGTGGAGTGTCATTGGTTTGAGGGAATACAAACCCCAAAATCCACCAACCCCCTTACACAACTCCCCTCGACAGCTGAGATTAGTTCTACCCCTAAAGCAGCTGTCTACTGTGGCAACAGCTGGGCATTTTGGAGGGAATAGGGGACGTGGATAGAAAGGGTCACTGGAATCCGTCCCTGGTTTCAGAGAAATTAACAGCCTTGTCAAGATGAGTTAAATATGCCCAACGAGTGTACTGTACATTACGAAGCTATCATGTGTACTTGGGTACAATATGCTTGTGTGTGTCTATGCCAACATACATACATGGCAGCACAGTCACATAATCTGCGAATACAAACTGTGGACGCAGTTGAGAGAAATCGACAACAAATGTACTTTTTCTTTACTAAAACTAACAAGGCAGTGATCAAATTAAAGCTTTCTTTCCAGTGTCATGAACAGTAAAGTAATCGTGTTATTCAGCTGTTGAGAATGCATCGAATCATTTCAACATTCATTAATTAGGAGCAAATTACAGCACTCGTTTCTGGGTGCAAGCATACTTAGAGTTGTGCCATTTCCATGACAATAAGTCAGTTCCGAACTGAATAGTGTGGGTGAGTGCAAACACAATGTACTTGGTCAGGTGATTGAAAAACATTGTGACTGATTACATAAGGCAGAGGGTGGCTCTAATTGCAGTGTGTGTGTGTGAGTGTGTGCCTAGTGCGGCAAGGTCATAACGCCCTCAGGGTCACATCACTCTGCAGGCGCACCCAAAAGCCAGGCATTTGTCAGTTTACCCAGGGTCAGGTGCCCTGAATGTGGGCTGGGTGGTGTGCAGCAGCCTGGCCAGTCGCTCAACCAACGTCACAGCAACTGTTGATCTGTTGGCCGCTCTTCCTCTCAGCTGCCTGCAGCCCGAGTGCCGTGAGGAGGGGCAGGGGGCAGCCACCGTCCCTGTTTGTCAGGCCTTGGCGAGCACAACCGTCAGTGGACTGGTACTGCCTGGCACTCATTTGCTTCCAGAAGCATCTTAAATGAGAGAAACAGAGCGTGTGTGTGTGTGTGTGTGTGTGTGTGTGTGTGTGTGTGTGTGTTGTGTGAGAGAGAGAAAAGAGAAAATGGGTGGCATGGATGGTGCTTGTTTATACTGTTCTATGCAAAATAAAAGTCATATAGGACATATTTAATTAAGAAAAAAATGACCGTATACATTGACAATATAACTGATGTTGTGTTTATCTTGACCTAAATTAGGGATGCAGTTATTCTGGTTTACTTTCACTTTACTTCCATAATTCTGATTATGAACTATCCTACTTCTAACTCTACAACAGTTATCACATATTAATGAAACATTTGATGTAGGAGACAGAATTTTTTTTGTAGGAGGCAAACATTTTTTCTTATGACCCTTTAAAGGACCAGTGTGTAGGAGTCAGTGGTTGCAGATTGCAAACAACTGAATATAGCTCGCCTTCCAAGCATATAGAAAAAGCTACAATGGCAGCAAAACCATGTTTCTACAGTAGTTCTGGTCTACTGTAGAAACATGGTTGCTCAACAGGACAGACTCTGTCGAAGAGGACCGCTCTGTAGATGAAAATGTCTAATTTTAAGGCCAGGAAATCTAGATGGGCCAGACATTTTTAGCAGCAAACTTAAAACCGTTCTCAAGTTTATCTGGAAAGTGTAGTGTTTCTCAATGTAGTGCAGAATATTATATTCTTTAACTTTAAATACTGCCACTTAAAGGCTGCTTTAGGGCCGAATGTGTCCCACTTGCAGCTAGTTGAATAAGCTGGTTCTAAGGTAATCAAAACACAACAATTCTTATTTTCAGCTAAAAACATGAATATTAGATTATATATTATCTACAGAGAATTATCACCCAAATTTGCAGCTCCCTTAGTTTGAGAGTGACAGCTGGAGAGATGGACAGGAAAGGCAGGGGAGAGAGAAAGGATGACATGCAATGTTTTGTTCACGCTACTCTTTCTCGGGTCCACAGGAAAAAAAGAAATAAAAAAAACAATTTGGTGTGATTATGTAGAACGAAAGTCAATGAAAATAATAAATACATATTCATATACAAATGCATAAATACATATATTAATATTAATTAATATTATATCATTATTTTTAAGTTTTCTCTGCTTCTGAATTTTACCCTCTGACAAAAAGTGACGCACTGATTATCAAAATATTTTTTTTATGTATGCACGAACTTGATACCTCTATAAATTGTAGCACACTCAAGTACAAGGGAAAATGGAGAGAAATGGAGCCTTTACAAAAACAATGTGTTCTGGTGGCTTAAAATTGCCTTGGCATGATCATTTTGCTCAATCTTGCCATATTTTAATGTGCTAAACCAATGAAGCCAAGCCCTGACTTCAAATCTGTCATCATACTAAATCTTTAATTCTCTTTCCTCTATGTTGTAAAAAAGGTGACACCGTTAATTATTACCTTTCCAAAGACGTCATCACAGCATCTCAGTGTCACACTTGCAATTTCCACCTCTGATTTAACACTATTTTCACAGTCACAGCTTTTATTTGTACTTTTTTCAATTTAATTTCGCTGTAACCCAGCAGGGGGTCTATGTTAGTAAGGCCTCAGAGAGCTGTAGCAGGGTTTAATCTGAAGTGTTGAAAATAATACATGCCCAACCCTCCCCGGCCCCTTTAAAAGATCCAGACATAAGAGTCTGAGCCAGGGTACCAGGATGGAAAAACTCTACAAGGGTAATAATCACTACCAGGGGCCCAATTTTCCCCAATATCTGCTCCTTATTTCAGTCCCCTTATTTATTTGGATGTAGGCCCTTTAAGTTAAATTTAATTTGAATCTGCTGTGCATTTCTATGGATTGATTTAAGGTGCAAAACACTTTTGTTTCCACTTGCAAAGATGTCTGTCATCTTAAGAAAGAGGGTACTGGGTGCATTCACAAGTGCTGGGTGTGTTATCCAAGGCCCAACCATAAATCCTCGCTAATCCTGGGTGCTTCCTGCAAGCGTCAGTGTCACTGTATCCTGTTTCTGTGGTGATCAGATTTATGGCCTCACACATGGTGTCAAACAGGAAGCATTTGGCGTCAAATGCACT